TAACTACCCAAAATGAGTAAAGTTGAAATGCACCCCATCAGTCAGACAGCCGTAATAAGTCCGGAAAGGCATTGCATAGCCATTGCATCATTTCAAAAATGATCAACAGTGCGCATTCCAACTAACTCCTGTCGGGCTAGAACCCGTAAAGCTACTGTCACTAGACCGTAGTTCAGAGCGATGCGTAAGGGAGACGATAACGATCGAGATCACTAAGTTACTATATGTGATATAGCACAATGTGATGCAGCTGTTATGCTGTTTCGTTATCGCATCATCAACTGTGAATAAAAGAAAGAAAAGTGGTATTGCGACTGTGAACCTGCAGTACTACCTGAAATGGCACTGAAAGAAGTGTAAGCCCAAACAGTGATGGTATGATAAGTCAAAAAATATTTAGTCAAGTCTCATGCCATTAATGCAGAAGAGACAAAGTACACTTGAAACGACGCCCAGCATAGAGATGAAGTAGAGCATTAAATTGTGTGCTGCAACGGGGGCATACGGGACTGATGGGGAAGGCTAAACGCACACTGGCTTGGTTTATAGGGGAAGCAGGTAGAAGTTGGGAAAAGGATTTGATGAAAGCTGCTAATTTGATGAGGGTTCAAAAGACTGTCATCGGATGCACCAGATGGTGGTTCGTTCATGCATTCCAGTTGTGTGGCTAACAGCGCTTGGCTTCGCTGTTGTGAGTCGTGTCTTTCGTTTGACAAAATCGATCACAAGATAACGGCGTCAGCAACTATTAGTGAAACGCGACTGTGTCATTGGTTACGTGTGCGGCGCAAATGGACACCATATGCGGGCGGTCAGAACCATCTGTTCTACTGACTAAATGTCGTTGACACCGCCCACTGATTCACCTCACCCGATGCACCGGGTGGTGATTTGTGAGCTATATCAGACCTACTTTCGACAAACTGGGTATTTCATGCGATTGAAGGTTTAAAACAATGAGTTTGCGTAATTATTTTAAACCAAATCAAGTTAAGCCATGAATGTGCTTCATGCACATGCCAGCGGTATGGACAAAATGGGGAACACCGGTAAAAGTAGCAGGCTAACCTAGTGGATGGAGCTAAGATTGAATGTTGAGCTTCGGAGTATTCACCGTGTGTGCAAATCGTGACATGAAATCTTCATTGGGACCTAGGTTAAATATGAGATAGACATCATTGGTTCCGATCACTATGAGCATAGCCGAAATGGCGGATACTCGGTGTTGCTCGATCCAAACACTGTCTAGTGAACAAAGTGTCCTGAGTGCTGCTCCCAGCTCCCGTTATTTCTCTGTTTGATGAGCGCAAGCGAGGATGAGACCGGTCGTCGAGTGGTGTTGGGAGCGGGCAACACGGAAAGGCGATAATACCTTTAAAGTTAACAATCCATGCTTGATTAGGGAAGTACGGGCTCAGTAAAAACGTGGCAAATTGCGGAGGTATGCACAAAAGTAGACAACTTTCCACTTCTACTAATCGAGGAATGTCATACACATTCGGCTAATAAGCTACGAAGGCAGTGATGGGCATCGACGAATATTTCTGCAAGGATGATTTAAGGATTAAATCCTTCCATTTTCCCATCAGAACTAGGAGAATTAAGAGCGATTGCGATAAATTCCTACACCATCCTCTATATCTCCTCACAACCACTGTTTCTGAGTAGCAATGGACAAACCGATGCTCGAATCACCACATATCATCGAAAATACTCAGTCTTTCGGAGTGTGAAAGGGAGTTGTTCGCGCGGATAAAAATTTTTTTTTCACAGGCAGCAGATATCAATGGAGTTCAAATAAATTGGATGTATCGGTGTCAAAAACAGACTATTTTGTGGAAGCAACCACTATACGCGGTCACTCTACGCTTTTAGGCAGATACTGTCTCTGTCTGAGCCCTTCAGCATTGCTTGGACCAACATCTGAATGACTTGTTTTGCAGTGGACCACAAAAGTTGACTTGAAGGTGGGGAAAGCAAAGCAGAGAAATGCGGATAAAAAACTGCTTCAGGTTATGTGCCGATATGAAGTATGGAAACATCTACAACATGGTGCGGCGTGTTAAAATAAATAGAAGCCGTCGGAGGCTCAATTGTTGTGGTGTTCGCTGGGTTGAGCAAGTTAATTGCAGATGTTCCATCACCATTGGAGGTGACATCATCGGTAAAGGTGTGATGGCTGTTTCATAGGAAGAACTGGTGGAAGGCAAATTCAAGGATGGACGGAGGCATTAGCATAGACAAATTTTCGCTTTTCCGTCCAGCAAATAAGACGATTCTATTGTAATTGTGGGAGACGAATCTAAAATGGGCGTCTAAACGCAAGAAATAGACTGATCACATTCTCCATCTATACATTGAGTCAGAACCCTAACAGAGAGGAGGCGGGAAACCTGTTTCCGCTTAAAGTAATGGGTGGCACCCCAGTTAAAACCGTCAACGCAAAAACTAAGCACATAAAACCTCTAATCATTGACCACTCTAGTTCTATTAGCTCAACGTGCACCGAAACACTGTCTAGGGCACTATGAGTTACATGGATGAATTAAGTTTGGATTTAAACCTTCTGCAACCCCACAAACGCCACAATTCAGGGGACATTGAGAAGACAACGATAATCTAACTCATCGAATACATTCGGATAGACGACGTCAACTGCCACCCCTAATATGGCGTTCTGTCATATGAGCCTGCTGATAAGAATGGAACTGCGATACACGACGGAAGTTGACGAATGCAATGTAGCTACGCTTCAGGTTATTATAGTTCAATAAGCAATCAGCAAACGCATCAGTGACGATAGGACTTTTAGAGATTGAAAGTTGTAGGCATAAACGGACAGTATTTGCGGGCTCAGTGCAGCTGCATAACGTGTGAAAAGATTAACGACTTCGAGGTCTTCATATCTCTGTAAAGGGGAAGCCATGAGAAGAACGCGTCTGGAATACCAAAAGCCGGGTTGAAAGCGTTATGGGGGAGTAAAACTAAAGTAACCTCCCGACAAATTCGTGCGCATTGTGTTGTGTGTGATCGACCAGGACACGGGTCTAGTGTTGTACGCATGCAACAGGCAGAAGCATAACCTACTGTTTTCCCAGTGGTAAAGTCATGCGAATCACTCGTGTAGACATGTGGATAAGGTTGCTTAAGCGATGAATGCTCTATGGGTAAAAGTAAACCCTTGAAACCTGACAGCCAATGAAATCGGACGCCCAGTGGTAGGAAATAAGGGCCATTGATCGGTGTGCACGACCTAGATAACGTAAACGAGCACGGCTGGTGCGATTTCATTGCCACTCCGTGGACTGAACATCGTGCACATGGAAGATAGTATTTTTTATATTTTTATATGCGGCAACAAATGAGTGCGCATCATACGATTTGGTAAAACGGGCGCATAGCTGACGGATGGGCATAATCAGCACGCTTATATATTCGGTCGCTCCATTCACAGATTAGTGTGAGAACTGGCTATCGTGTACAGTATCTCGATTCGTTGAATTGTCGACCCCAACCCGTAACCAATGTGGTTCATAGGTGACAAGTAAAATAGGTGGTGACCAAACGGGCTCACAGCACGTTCACCTGCTGTGAACTAGGCACTGATGTATCGATGTGATTCAGCCCGTTTACAACATTCGTCCCACATATACCTAGCGAGAAGTATCGGAAAGAACACGAATATAATCACTGATACAAGCCGTGATTTCGTAAAATCACCGCGAACTCTGTAGGCTAGCGAACAAGAAAAATAGAGACAAGTAATCGGGCATTAGAAGCGTGACTCAAATCAGGAAGTTTGACAGCTACAGGTGACTTCGACTGCAATTCTCGTCATCAGCCCGTGTAATGGACGAGTTCCGTACTGGCCATAATCAGTGCAGCCCGAGTCACCATGTGCTATACACAATAGCTTGAAGTCACTTTTACCGGATAGTCAAAGTCAACGATTTACGGTATATAGAGTTTATCAGTTATAAATGGTGATTACTGACCGGTACGGAAACCTAGAGACAGCCGTCTCACATGGGAAGACCAGCTTATAGTAGACAAGACATTCATACAACGAAAATAGGTGAGATTAGGCGCCAAACTGAGTGTGTTGACCTTCACATGCAATTCAAGAGTATTCCTCGTGAAAAGACTGGTAGTTTCATTTGTCGTCTTCAGGAGTCACTGAGCTAAATGCTTCTAAGGGGTAACTCCCACAATCGCGGTAAAAAAAGATGATAATGAGGCAAAGGAAAGAGAGGAAGAGGAGCAGACAACAATGGGAACGTTTGACTGAGGGATTGATGATATGATGAGGATGATGAGGTATGAGCCTAGGTTCGAGGACACAACCAGTGACTTGGTTATTCCCATAAATCCCTCCCAAGATGAAAGGAATCAAAGCAACTTAAGATCACCACCAAGCTCGTCAACAGGTGGTCCTAGAGGGCACACGCAATCGGTGCACTAGGTGGAAAGAATTCGCCGAAATGAGTGACCAATACACACGTGAAGAATGTGATCGAACGAACACGAGCAAAATACTCATCCACCTGCCAACGAAAGTTCCATATGGCTTACTGGCAAGATCAAGAGGGACGGAAAAGGACACTGCTTTCACAGTGATAAAGCCGAATAAAAATATAGGTTTGCGAGATCTGGCAACTAAAAGCAAACATCACATAAAAGCGCAGACCCAACAGGCGCATGGACAAGTGGTTAATGAAACATCGCACACAAAGCAACCAACAAATCAAGGAAGCATGCACAAGTTAGGTAGTCGCAAAATATACTGACGAATTAACTTGGTAGTAGTACTCGCAAGTCGAGCAAATGAAAGACTGTATGAAAAGCAACACGTTCCATGGCACCTACTCTACTCTTTATGACTTATTTCCAAACTAAGTGTTGAAGCAGATGCCTCAGTAATTTGTACGGAGCGTGGACCTACTTAAACTGTTAAGTATCAACATTATTTTCAAAAAGTTAATGGCTATGCATTCACATATACTTGACAAGGGAAACATATATTTCGAATCATGTGCTATAGCGAGCATTCGCAGCGATGACACGACCCTGATGAGTCAAAAACAGATACTTAGCTCTTAAGCAGATGACAGACGGTTTAACGTACACGGTCCACAAATGGGGACCGGCGCAGTTAAAGTCCGGAAAGAACGATGCGGTTTAATGCTATAAAAGATAAAGCGCTCCGCGATAAGTGTGCCCTACAGCAGCGGCCAATGACAGAATTACTTCGCATATAGGCGATGGTAAAAAGAAATACTTAGGATTTGAATGAGGTTGGATCAGACACGATTGGACCGTATGCAAAGGAAAAAGAATGAAAAGGCGGGAACCCAAGCTTAATCACTGTTCCAGCACATTATCTGAAACGACGTCCAGAGCTAAAAGCGCAAGTTCAAGGATGGTATGATTGAATGTCGAAGTCAACGCTATACTATAAAGGAGAGGATTGCAAACCGAACTACCTTCCCAAATGCATCTGATTACAATAGTGGTCACTGGTATAAGAGAAGGCTTGATAGTATGGAGGGCAGAAACGCCAATGGCGACAAGTATTCTGCATAGTGTTTGTGGAGACGGAACCAGCAAGAAATAATAATTCAGCAGCCTGAGAATAAAGGTGAAGACAGGAACAAGGAACCTAGAGAGTAAGGCGGTATACAGATGGAATTAGCGCCAGTTCGGCGTTAGGCACACGCCTGTTCAAACGCAGGTAAAAGAGCGGTCGGTGAGCGAACAAAATTATACTATAAGAGAGGATCGGTAGATTCACTTCGGTTCCATAGGGTTACCACCACATTCAGGGGTCCCATCAATGTACAGAAGACCACACGCGGAGAACTTGGACGATGGGGAAGCCAGAGAAGCTGTTGGAAGATGGGGATTTTCTTGAAACACTTTGACATCAATACCAGGGCCACTGTTGAATACAAGTAGGCATGTATGGGTGGTTTGGCACAAGTGACCGCATTCGTGAAAAATGAGAGTCAATGAAAGGACTACTTTCTTACATCATGTGTATTGAAGCCGTAGCTGAGGCGGCATGGGAAACGCAAACTAGGCAAATCAGCATATGTACAAGAATAAGGGGGACAAACCAGAGGCAGGACACCACCGGTCGGGATGAAGCTTCGTCTCCGAGGAATAGCCAGCATAAAATAAATCAAATTGCTGCATAGGAACGGAGAGTTGCATAGGTAATGGGACAACGGTAAGCGACCGACGGCAATAGCTGTGTGAGCTGAGAAGACCCGAGAGATGAATGCAAAAGAGGTAGAGAAATGGCGTCGACGAAGAGGAGCAACAGATGCAGTCGAAACGATTGAAAGTGAACAAGCAAGAAGCTTGCTAAACGGAGGGGGAAAGCAGCCAATCCACCGGTCAACAAGCCAAGTAATAAGAGTGTGTCGCTGTGCTGGCAAGTGGAACCGAATGGATGGTGGCGAAATAACTAACACGTGGTGAGATCAGGAGAATGGTGAAACAACGCCAGGGCAGCAAATGAGTAGATCAGCAAACGTATGGGGGATTCGGAGATGCGCCAGTCATCGAGCAAATTTGGAGAAGATGTAGACCATCACTGAGCACAAGACGATCATCAACGGAATGATGGCGAACAAGGAGAACTGGAAAGGAAAAATAAAATGTGGCATTACAACTGGAGCAGAAACGTGAAACAAGGAAAGTAAATCAAGGTAATATAGGCGAGTAATGTAACGAATTGATCATATGCAATCTAAAAACATTTAAACGCAGAAGTAAGAAAGGTAATAGAGTAAGTAGTATTTAGAGTATTAATTAACAAAATTAGAACTAAATCTTGCTACTTACGAGTAATATAAAATAAATAGCCTCATCTAGTTTCAGAAGGCTATGGGTATGGCGTCTAGTGAGAGGATGTCATCACCTCGCAGGCTAACCACCGTCAGTGACAATAGAAGATAGGCGGTGCTATATCCCAGTTAGCTTGAAAATTATGTAACCCAGCCAACGTCCCCCATGGCTCAGTGGCTGAACCTGCTGGCTAGTTGGCATCTGCCTCTAGCGGTCACGGGTTCGATCCTGCGTAAAGGACCGACGGAATGTGCACCACTGAAGAGCCCCAATAAGGCGAAACGCCTCTGGCGCTTTTCCGGACTAGGCTGTGCTATGTAGCTTGTGAACTAATGGGATGAAAAACCTCAAACAAATTATGAGAAAGGCGCTGACGTTGCATACTCCTCGAAAAGGCGATGATAGCATGATGGAGCCGCCAAAACATAGGATGACGGAAATGACCGAGCATACAAAGGCAGAGAACAACACGGAAGTGGAACAGTAAGACCGTGCAGTTAGTTGGGATGTTGTCAAAAAGTGGAAGAAATGAGGATAAGAAACAAGCTGCAACCACTATAGGTTTTTGCGGTTAAATTTTACAGCTGGCAGCGCAACCCTGTGCGTCCATGGCATTAAAGTGGCTTAGAAGAATATCCGGATCAACCCAACTAAGTGTCGTAGGTGGAGAACAATGTAACCTGGAGAACAGAAAAATACCGGGGGAAACTAACAGAGTGAACAAAAGCAATTGCAAAGTCGAGTTTGATAATCAGAACATTGACGTAGGGCGGACAACAAGTAAGCAGTTGAAAAGAGCTAACAAAACCACTCAGAGCACTAAGATAGATGGCGCGATTGTGTACAAGGATTATTTTGAAGGTAAATGAACTGCAGGTGTTTGGAGAAGAGACGTAGAGCGGTGTGGACGATAACGACCAGAGAGAGTGCAAAAGGTCTCAAGGTAACAGGGATAATTATGTACAAATGGCGCATCGGAGGGCATACAGCGCATATAATTAGTCTCTTTAATGCGTACACGCACATGTATTCATCGTCAAAGCCTCGGCGGGAAAGCACAACTGAATCGTTATCCGATACACTAGTGCATCGTCATTCAGTACGTGCTGGCCCCTAGCCGCGGTAAACAGAGGCTAATAAGCATGATTAGATGGACCACGCATCGGAAATAGTCGCAAAGCGCATCAGGACGCAGGTGCAAACAGGCTATTGGAAGATCGACGATGAGAAAATATCCTGCACTAATCCGAGTCCTTGGGTTGGCCACTCGAAACACCTTACATGGACAGACAGAGTGGTATTGAAATATGCTGTACGCAAGGGCCCAAACTACCAAGCACCTCATATCAAGTTGGTGCCCCTTGGACGTGATGGGGAAGCATTGGCACAGTTCGGATGCAGAGATTTAGACAACAACAACAACAGTACAGTACGCTGCCATACAACCACAACGACCTACGAAACGAATAAAAACTAGAGGGAGAGAAGGTGGACCTGGCGGAAAAGTCTAGTGCCTTAACCTGACATTCAGCGTTAAAAAGTCTACATCCTGTCAACAATATACCGTCAAAAACAGCTGGTAATCATGCAAAGATAGCGCGACATCACCGAAGCAGCTTCCTCGCGGCTTTCACTGCAGCGGGTCATAATTAGCTTCGCAGATAACTCCGTAATAGATACTTTAAACAGGCAGTGCGACTAGGAGACGACAGCAGACACGCCACTGGGGTCCACTGCGAGCCATGTACTGTAACGTCTCGATGCAAGCACAAAGCTGGTCAAGTGGACTATAGCCTGGAAGGCAACGGACCAATGACAAAGAGGTTGGTCGTCAGTGATTTTATTTTCAACTGCCAAGTTAACTTTTGCTAATCTCGGGTCTTTCGCAATCCTACACCTGACGCGGGGTAGTGAAAGTCACAAGGAAGCTGTCTCACTGATGTCGTTTAGCCTCGTCCGAAATTCAGCTATCCGTGACCCCATGTTTTTGGTAAGGTGCAGGGGCCTTGACTCTGAATGCTCGCTTAGGGTGATCAGGTTTTACATTAGGTCGACCTTCTATTTCTATTACGGTTTTGCACTCTACTGGTCAGTGTGGTTGAAAGGCTGATATCGGTTCACATGGCCGATGTACTGCTGTTGACGGTTAGGAAAAAACAAGACATATAAAGACACAAACTAGGACAGATTTCCAAGTATCTGCATTGTAGTCAAAATGTCATCAGTTCGAATAAGCGGTCACCTTCAAGTATCCATAGGATGAGTGCGACTGTTGCTGGTAGCGTGGCAGCGAAGCGTCGGTGCGACGTCGAGACATACTGCTAACACTTAGGATCGCAAAAGAAGTTTAAGTGCGACAGCTGTTTTACATATAAAGATGCGGACGGCCTCCGCCTGCTTGAGGATTTCGTATTGCAACTGATAACTGCAAACGCCAAATTTGGGACAAGCTGAGGAGCCGCATAGAGTAGCTATTCATCAATTGATGACGCGGGTGATCAGGTAGCAAGAAATGATATGAGATCTCGAAATACGTCTTCTTAGTGTTCGTTTGAAATGATCATCGTTGTGTGTGTACAGACGCCGGAAAAGATGCCGCACCTGGGATGCATGACATACACGCCTACGTGAAATAGCATATGTAGCGGTGGAGAGTGCCTATCTGCTTGACGCTACCGTAGCGAGAACAAATTTCTGGGGACTACCAATGGACCCTGGGAAGTGAGTTGGGTGCAGTCAACATGAGCTTAGACAGTGGCCACATGATACAGTCACCATCATGGAGGTGGCTGGTATGTACGCTTTCACCCTCATTGATCCATGACGGTGTACACACGAATAGCGCGTAATACTGTGCTGCAAATTGAATTCCCGTTGAGGATGCATGCAGACGGAATGCGCGTGGCTCCGGAACGGCAACGATCCATACAAGCATATAACCTGCTGGCATGCACTCAGGTTTACACTGAATCTCGGATGTGTGGGTGGTACATCACAGGCCTCCCATTAATCTTCGCAGGATGCACATAGTTGCAGTGACAAGTGAGTATCAAAGTGGGTGGTGTCAATAACAACAGATGTGTAAGCATAACAAAAAAACCACCAAAATAATGACATACGCAATAACCAACTAGCTAATATTAGGTCTGGTACAAATGCAGGAACATTTCGCCCAGAACTGGAAAATTTCTTGGACCAGAGCTCGATAATGACCATGTTTCATTAGGAAAATCCCCAAATGCATTCTTCCACAATGGAAAATCCATTGCACAAAACACAGCACCAACGAAAAGCATGTATTTCAGAGTGCTTTAATAATACAGAGGCCAATGAAATTATGGATCACTCGTGCATAAGTATGATCGTAACTGTACTAATGGTCTACACCGGTTGCAGGGAAAGCCTCTCGCAGATTCGAGAAATGTAGGCGTTATTAAACCAATGTCATGCAGATAGAATTAATGTCACTGAAGATAAGCAAGTGCGGGGTCTAATAGCAACTTAGTGCTTGACAATAACATGGGTGAATAGGGTACGCAATCAGATCGAATACACGTTTCAGGAATTTCGGCTGCAACACTCCTGACGGGAGGATGCTAAGATGGCATATTTCGTGAAAGAAACAAAAACAGGTTGAAGTATTAGGTCGATGTACAAAAAACTGACAAGAAACTCACAGCGTTCCCAGAGGATTGAGAAGACCGTGATGAGCCCTCGCCAAGGGCAATCCTGCTGAGGGATGCAGGCGCAAGAGAAGTCGATTGAAATGAATGCGGTTCAAATGAGGAAGCGTTCGCATGTAAGGAAGTGAGATCGATGCAGCTATTTGGTGAAGGATTCACATTGGCCCTAACTGCGTCATCAAGTGCAGCCTGTAGCTGCTCGATCCGATGGGTACATGCCGAAACCTGTATGAATGAGGAACAGCATGATAAGTCCCTGGGCAACCACAGCCGAAACATTAAGAAGAAAGTCGTAATGTCGCAGTGTTGAGGAGGAAAAGAAGTAAACCAATGTAGTAAAAACTTAAGTGATCGATATAAGACTTATCAAAAACGGACAAGGGAAAGATTGCAAAGCATATAATTGACATGGTTAATGCCTAATGCAATGCGAGATTTAGATTCGAAACAGTCAGACATCGTAATCGTGGACAAACGTGATCGGACAAAATCCCAGGTTCCCGGAGGATGATGAAAAATACTACCCACCAGTTCACGAGATTATATGACGGAACCGGATCTCATTTGATTGCGGACTATCGCCCCATGAGAAGGGGAACGCATAATGACAACACCTGCTTTAACAGGAATCACAAAACGTTCAAGGATGACAGATCGGACTTTTAACGAAATGCTTCAAGTGATCAAAGCCGATGAGATAGACGCAAGTGAAGTCAGTTTCAAGAGTCGAATAGACCGTGCGGTAGCTCAATCTGTGCTGAAACGCGCATGTTGATATTTGGTTACCAAATAACAGTGATCACCTCCGCAGTTAACCTGCGTAACGAACTAATGCTCATGTGACTGGGCCGTAGGTCAACAGGCACTCAAACACCTCCCAAAATGCTTATGACCTACGCAAAGCCCGCGTCGACATGGATCTCACGACACCTGTTAATGCAAGTGCTCTGGCAAGCAATTAAGTAGCAGTGCGAATTTGTGATAGCACTTAAGAGTCAATCAGTGGATGCAGGCAAATACTAGTGGGGAAGACTCCATAATCGGCCGGTGCCTTTTTCACAGGAACATCAGTTTTACAATATGTGCTGCGGACACATCCGATATCCCGAAATATCCTTACGTTGTTTTTATTTATACTAATGCAAAGGTCGCCACTGTTGTCCATCATCGATCTTTGGGTAAACCTCAAGATATTGCGCATTGTGCTCAATTCATTGTCAAATAACGTTTCGGAAAGGTAGGAATGGGTAATCCTGGTCGGAATACTGGCCCTTGACGCTGTCCTCTCAGCAGAATGCAAGTTTGGATTGTTCTTTCAAGAAATGTGCAATTGTTGCTTACTGGCACCGGGCCGTTTATTCTAGTGATACCTGTATGTTCGGTTCAGTTGAACAACTATGAGCACCGAAGTGCGGTGGATCCAGTTGCCACGACTCAAATCGCAAGAAAAACAATAAATAGCAACAGCAAGATAGTGGTGCTAAAGTCAAATGGAATTAATAAAAGACGGAAGCAAGGAGGTGCATTAAAGTAAACAGAATGGAACAAAATTTATTGACCATATGCAAGGAATCGAACGCAGAAACGCCACTGACTTCGCCAGTCTGATACGGTCTCCAACCATTGGTGTGGACCATCCCGAGACTCCATCCACGAAGACGGCACGCATCAGCCTGATCAAGTCTCTCAGTCAATTCCATCATGCCACTATGCCACGTCATGGACTAGGCGCCTCAGTTTCACCAAAATTGGTGCAACTACGGTGTATAGTGCGCCCTGAGGAAGCTGGTCAATTGACATACGGAGGACGTAGCGCAGCCAACGAAAGCGACTAAGATTTATCGAAGACTCGAGAGAGGCATCAGAAGGCTTCTTGCCAAAAAACAAACTGGCGGACCTCAGCATTACCCACCCGGTGTTCTAACCAGTCGTGAGCAATACTCCACAAGCACCGGTAGTCAAAAACGGCCATGCGTTTAATGTCTTCGCCGCGAACTGAACCGGTCTCTGATCCACACAGTAAGACCGATTTTACCGCAGTGTTATACACCCTACCTTTCACCGACAGGCTGATATCCAATCGTCTCCATGGATGGTTGAGCCTTTGGAAACCCACACCAGCCTTGCTGATCACCGCAGTAAGTTCCTCGGCGATGTGACCACCAGAAGTAACACAGCTACCAAGGTAAGTGAACCGATGCACCAATTCCAGTGGCTGTTCGGTGATAGCTAGAACCAGAGGTGTTCGGTCCAGTGCTGCAACAGTACTTTGCACAATGAAGGGGCAAAGCACACGCCGAAGCATGCAACGCCGCACTAGTCTATCCAGCAGTGTTTGCACAGCCACTGCGCCAAATCTAAGAAAAGGTATGTCGTCTGCATACTGCAGTTAGTCGGTCATTTGACAGAAATTCCACTCCATTAAACTGAAAGAACAAAGTCACTCATTATCATTTCGATCACAAAGTTGAAGAGGAAAGGAGATATAGGACAATTCTGGCGAACTTCACTTGTCATGGGAAGCTCAAGAGATAGTTTCCCGTAGACCCTTGCACGGTATCGGATGTCACGGTAGAGAGACATCAGAATGGAAAGGAATTTAGCCGGTACGCCCTTCATGGATAGGCAGTGCCACAGGCTGGCGCGCTCAATAGAGTCCAAGGCAGATATCAAGTCAAGGAAAACCACCACTGTCGGTCGTCTGTACGTGTGTCCCTGCTCCAACACTTGGCGAAGAGTGAATTATGTGGTCGATACAACCACGATCAGAGTGGAAACCAACTTAGCTTTCAATGAATCGGTTCTCGCGGGAACGAGTAAGTCGCCGCGGAATGAGACCAGTGACAAGTTTGGATGCAATGAAACCAAGGCTGATGGCTCGATGATTTTTGTACAAAGTACGATGAATCTGGTTGAGGAGAAGCACGACAGTTGACAGTCTGAAGGTATCTCATCACTGTTTCAAATCGTGTTAAATATAGTAATGAGTCACGTCAACAAAGGGTCACCTCCATCTTACAGCAAAGATAGAGGAAGGTCGTCCGGTCCAGGAGTCTTGTTCCGTTTCAACACAGAAAGTTCATCTCGAAAATCTTCCAAAGTGTGAAGCGTGACACCTACTACCCACATTGGCTCACACGATTCGGCAAGCGGCAGCGTCGCAGCAGACCTGCTGAACTGCTTCAAAATATCCCGCCAAACGTGTTATTCGACGACGCTGAGAATGGATCAACAGTCCATGTTTCTTAGCTAACTGATGGTTTTCTCGGACCCGTGCTCCGAATGAGCCGGAATAGCACTCGGCTGTTCCCAATCGTCCTGGCTTTCTTCATCTCACGGGTCCTTGCCACCCATCAACATTCCCGGTCAATTTGAAGACTCCTTGCGATGTGTCGTTGCAGAGGGTTACAGACACACTGAAACTCAGTGCCCACTGTTACTTGTTTCCGTGCTTCGATCAGGCTCATCAATCAATCCCTCAGAGACCCATTCGCAGTGATGATGTCTCAAGCTGGGTGCACAGTATGCGCCAAAGGCATTTGGAATGGCACACATGAGATGATCCTAGTTAGCTTTCGGTTCACTAACCCCATTCATCAGTGAAAATTGATGGGCCAGTTCGTTGTGATATTGTTGAACTACAGATTGCGAGTAAAAGTTACAGGTAAGAGGTCAGAAGATAGGAGCTTTTTTGAAGTGGGAAGAGTGAGCGCCAAGCGTGCGCACAGTAGACCATGGTCGGAATCCAGGCACGTGCTCCAAATTGACCGACAGTCTTGGACTGATATGTGCCATCTGTAACTGATGGCAATGTGGGTGCAGGTCATAGAGGGATTCGGTGGGCGCCAGGTGACGTGGTGTGAAGGTTTGTGCTAGAAAGCAGTGCTGCTGAGGTAAATGTTGTGCTCGACTCACAGTTGCGAGAATCGACCATAATTGTCGGTTTTGAAGCGCCCTCCCAGGTGCTGTTCAGAGTCTGAAAGACGACCCACTTAGGTATTATTGTCACCAGCAGCAATCACCATATTCTTTGCCATGCGAAGAAGAGGTGGCAGGTGTCGATAGAGATCGACTTTGATACCATCTGAACTACATTCAGTAGGGGCATAAACTGAGGCGATGAAAAGGCACCTTGTCTTCATACGATGCATATTAACCCCAGTAGAGGTTCAAAGTCGAACCGCATACATGCGGCTGTTCACCGGTATCCAGTCGTGCAGATTAAGTTCGGCATGTTTGCTGAGGGCAATATCAGCACCATAAATACCTTGAGTCATTGACTGGGTATCGCCACAGACGCGAAGAGTGTAGCAATCGTCGTCAGATACAAAACCATGGAGTCGAAGATTCGTCACAACGCTGTTTTCTCGTATGCCTGTTTCGGAGACACAGCAAACCTCAATACCAATAGAGTGAAGAGTCGGGGTCAGTGCTGCCTGTTGGTTTATCTGTCATAGAGTGTGGACGGTAAAGGTACAAATGTGAAGTGAAACTCAAGGTTTGATGGAAGATCTACATGTATCGATGGCAGCAGCGGCGAGGTCAGCGGTAGTCTCTTGCCCAATAGACGGGGAGAGAGAAAAACAAGAGGAGGCAGTATTGTCGACGTAATCGAGAGGGTGGATGATACGCTCCGGCTGCCCATTCCGAGGGCGGATTTGTTCGAGGTGTCTTACCTCTAGCCTTGGACACAACAGTCTGACCTACAAGCCAGTGGGGAGCGAGTCCAGCTAGGGAGTGTGAATGCAGAAACCCATTAGGATCTGCTTGAGGCCTGTCACAAACAGCCTTTGAAGAGTTAGAACAATGCATATATGTTTTACGACCGTATTATGTTACGCAGTTACAACCACGGCCAGCTGGTGGGAGTTGCAGCAATTTGACCAGGGGCTGCTTGGCTTGAGGCGGGCGGTATTAAACCGTTGAGCACCGGAAGGTGCCCTCCGACTGTCAGAGACTGCGTAGCGCTCGTGATCTATGCCAATCGAGTTGTGAGCTTATAACCGGTAGACATGTTGCCTCCCATGGGAAAAAGTTCATCGATCTCTCCCTAATCTCCGAAGAGGATTCAATTGTGAGATTGAGTTAGTTTGATTCTTAACCATTGACCTGTTTGGTGTGAGTGGCTCTGAAAGCACTTGGAAAGTGCCAACCAGCGTAGCTTAATGGGGCACGGAGGTACGCAAACGATCGCACTACCTTAAGGTCCAGTCTCCTTGCGACGA